GGGGGGGGGGGGGGGGGGGGGGGGTACGTGTTAATTTGTTGGTCCTATCATTGGTCCTATGGTCGTTGACCGCGCACTACCCTTTTCGCGGAACGGAGCACCTTTCCTGCTCCTCGAAGGTACACCGTCAGCATGCTCTTGGCGCCTTAGCCAGAATAAACATGTCGGGGAGGGCGCGCGTGTCGTGTGTTCTTTTCAACTGGCGTCGACCGCGTAAAGCAGCGGACTAATCAAAAAACGCTAGTCGTACAGCAGGATAATAAAAAACACACGTCAGTCTTACAGCCGGACAGAACAAAAAAAAAAAAAAGCGCTTCCCCGGTCCGCGGATTCCCTTGACAGAGGTATGGGGGTTGGGATACGACGTTAGGGTCCAACCTCAGATATTCAAAGTGCCCACAAAAAAAAGAGAACGCACCACAATATAATAAGTGTGTTTGACCGGGAAACAGGAGACATTCCTGGGCCAACGTTTTAACCATTGGCAGCTGAAAGGGACTGAAACCTATCGAAACTATCCAACTCGGATAGCCTACCCTATCGGTGAACTGCTTCAGGTCCAAGGACGTTCGTCGACGCAACTCCCCCTGTAGCACCTCCCCTTCGCGCTCCTGCGGACACACAAACGCACAACAACAAACGGCAAGGGGTGAGCGGGGTGCGGGGTTAACCAAGGTTCCCAATGGTTGCATTCTGTGTGGTTATCGGGGTGTCTTCCGTGTGACCCTCACGGTGTAAATAAATAGTCCGCTGAACACACACGGTGGCACACTCGCTTCACTCTCATGGGATGGTTTCATGGTCCGGACTTGGTTTGATCCTCGCAGCATAGTCTATTCCGATTGGCCCTCAGGTCACAAACATCTCCAACGTGCGACAGCATGGCTCTACATACCTTAGCCAGCAAGGCTTTGGACGGCTTGAACAGCCCGGGGAGGTTGGCGAGCGCCACTTCCAACCCACTCTGCACCAGCAGAAGGATGCTGTCCCTGTACACAATCCACAACGAGACATTGAGGGACAAGGGCGGAGGGACGTTTCCTTTTCGTCATCATGGCCATGGCAAACCGTACAATTGCCGCAAGAGATGGGGAGACGATGATGTCGTGCTTTCACACGGGTTCGTTTCCGAGCTGTCGAGGCACTGGCAAAAGCGGGAGCGACACGACCCAGCTGCCCTCCTCTCGTGGAAAAATTGCGTCGCACGGGCATCAATGATTCTCTGCCAAAGAGCCCCCCTGCCCTCCCCAACCACGCAAAAAAAAAAAAAATCGGCCCAAGGTTAAGGGTGCTTGCCTCAGCTAGGGGCTAGAACCAACGCTGCACTGTCTTGGAACATGACGACATGTGGTCAACAGCCTAGAAGACTCACGCAAGCTGCGCCAATGAGTAACCCCCCGCGCACTAGCACACGCACACCCCTGCAGGAAGCAGGAAATGGCGTTTGCCCGGCAGCGGCGAAAAGCCACCGCCACCAAGCAAACCCCTTCCCCAACAGCTGACCGCTCTACCCCTGCGCATACACCAAACCTTCTAGAATACCGGGCATTCCCGGAAACACGCCTCCGTATCATGCGCAAAGGCAACGACTACTGCACCCACCAGGCCTGGCCCTTTCCCACCCCGTATCCTCACTCAGCTCTCACCTAAGCTTGAGAGTGATGAGAAGATTCAGCCCGTCGAACACCACTCGGTACAGAAACCCGCTGCCGGCAACCCGCTCGTCCGCCGTGGCCGCCGCCGTCGCCCTGGTCTTGCGGCCATCACTCCCGCCCTCCGGCCGCGAAGACCCACCGGGAGTCCCTGCCCCCGTTACACCGTCGCCCCCGACGTCAGCGTCCGGCAAGGCGGCGGCGGCGGCAGGCAGTGGAGATGGAGGGGACGATATAGGCAGCGCTCCCGCCGGAGCCCCCTCCCTACCGTCAACATCACCCAAGTCGCGGCTGCTTCTCGCCGAGTAGCAGGAGTCGCCGCCGCCGCTCTTGTGCGGCGGGAAGAACCGCTTGCTGGCGCCGCCGGCTCCTCCGGCTGACGACTGCGCTGCTCCTGCCGCCGCTGCCGCCGCTGCCATCGCTGCCGTCGCTGCGATCGGAGTAGTCGGCGCGTTGGACGCGGAGGCTGCCGACACAGAGGACGCGTTCGAGTTGAAGCCTCGACTGCTGGCCTGCTTGGACCCCAGCCAGGCCGCCCGGGTGACGGCCTGCAAGTGCTCGTCCCACCTGCCGCTACCGACTTGCCGGTGGGCGGCCGCGGAGGCGTTTTCGTCGCCGTCTTCGTCTCCTCCCCCGTCAACACCCGCCGTCGCCGCAGCAGTAGTAATATCTGCTGCCACGCCAGGCTCGGCGGCAGCTACCGCCGCCCCCGCCTTGGGAGCCTCGCTGGCGGTACCGTCGCCGCTCGCCCGCGTACTCGCGGGTTCTTCCATCCCCCGCGAACTAGCGTAACCACCTTTTCTTTTTCGTACGCTGGGGCTATCGTGGCGGCCCGCCGCCGCGGTCCCCTCGTCCGCCGAGCTCTCATCAACGTCGGCGAGCGCCCCGTCGTGGCCGTGGCTATGGCTCGGCAAGAGCTCGAGCCGAGGTGGGACGCCGCCGCGAGACGCCCAGAACCTCCTCGCCGACCTCCCCCTGACGAGCGGCTTCTTGGGACCCCCCCGGTGGTCATCGCAGCCCGCGGCGGCGGCGGCGGCGGCAGGGTTGCCGCTGCGACTGTCGATCGCCGCAGCGGTGTCGGCGTAGCCAACGGCGAGGTCGATCCCGTCGGTGTCAAAGGAGGACAACCCGCCGGCAGCGACGGCGGCGGCGGCGTGTGCGTGGGCCTGGAGCGACGAAGACTGCAGTCCGCCGCCTCCTGCATAGTAGGAACCGTTGTCGGCGAAGCCGCCGTCAATGAAACCGACGTCGGTGTCGTCGTCGTCATCCTCGTCGTCCTCGCAGTCGCTGACATCGACGTCGCTATCGCTACCGCTGCTCGACCCGTCGCTGATCTCGACACGCACCATTCCGCCAGAGTTGGAAGCAGCACCAACGCCGGCGGTCGTCGACCCATCAGCTTCGTTTCCATCTAAACCAGCACCATCCGCCGTCGTCGAAGCAGCGGAAGCACCGGCCTCACCCACCGGTAGATTCGTATGTCGCTCTTCCGACCTAGCCACATCCGCTTTCATACCTTCACCCCCATCGACAACGACGAAGGCTTCAGACCCCGCCCGCGCCGCAGGCGATCTAGCGTTAGTTGACCGGGAGCGGAAACCGTGCTGCTGCCCTCTGGTGCCGCCGCTCGCTCTTGGCGGCGGGGTCCTCGTCGCGACGTCCCCGCTGCCCTGCGCGAGCGCGACTCGTCGAAGCCTCAGGAGGAGGCTGCCACGGCTCCCCGCGTCCCGATCGCACACGCGGGCCTCGATCTTCCCGGCCCTTAGCCTCAGTCCGTGGACGGTGGTGACCACCAGGCTGGTGGTCGGAATGACGACCCTGATGGACCGCGCGGGCAGGTGTGGTGACGATCGCCGTTGGTCGTTTCACCGATTGCACGGGGTCACGGTGGCGGCGGAGGAGACAAGCAATTTATTACCCGTCGAAGGGTTGCAAAGGAGGCTATACTGAGGGGTCAGAGCAATAAGGGTGAGCCGCAACAAAAGAACCGACCGGTGAACCTTGCTGCGGTGCTCGTAGCCGACGGGGCGGCACACCCTCATGATACATGTTTACCACAAATTCTACGTCTTCTGCCTTGCCGTTGTTGTTCTCGTTGTGGTTATTGCCTTGCATTACGTCCCGGACTCTGTCCAGTTCCTTCCAACTTCCGTACCGGTCCAACCGACGTGGACGCCTTCCGTGGCCACACGGCAACGCCTACCCCAAACGGGTACATGTTTCAAAATAAAGAAAAATGAAGGGCCCAGAGCTGCGGTTGCCTAGAAGCAATGGGCAGAAAAGAGGCCTTCGGTTTGTGACAAGGGGTTTCGCAAGGCGGAGTTTCCGGAGAGCGCGCGAAAAGACAGACTCATCGCACAGCCAGCAGTGTGGATACCTGCCCGTGGTGAAGGGGTTGATAGCTCCGGACTTCTCCACCGAGAAGCAAAGGCTGGCGGCAACGCCACCGCGGATAGACAGCCGCACCCCGCGCTTGTGCGGGTCTGCAGGAGCCGTGTTGTACGCAGAAGCGTCCATCTCCGCAAGAAACACCGGCCCCAACCGGAAGCCTCGTACCTGGACATACATGTTGATCATACTTCTTTGGTGGTTTGTTATTGGGATCAGTGGCATGTATGGAGAGAATTCGTCCACCGAATAACAAAAAAACTCGAGTCAAGCGGCCGGAAGAGCCAAGACATTGTGCCGAGAATCTCATCCGAAGAAGCAAACACATTCTCGCCAACAGGCCAGGCTCGCTCCCGCCCGTCGAAGTGCTTAGCGCCGCGCCGAGTAGTTACCAGGTAGAAAATCACGTCGGGCGAAGCAAGCAGCATGGAGAACACCGCACCTTTCGTGGCAGCTAGATGATCGGCATACATCGAGAGCTGTCTGTCGTGCATGGTGCCAAAAAAACAGTCCAGAAAAACCACAGCCGCCGCAAACATAACCTTCGAAATACTTCCCATCATACACAGCGATGAGGCTGCGGATGGGAGGATGTTTGGGGGGCAGAGGAGACGGCAGACGGAAACGAAAACATCGACATTGGCACACACGCCCTGCCGAACACAAAAGGCCGCACAGCCAAGCGCACGCACGAGAGAGGACTCGGAATCGTGAAAAACAGGTATTCAGGTCGTCCTTTATCAGGGAACGGCGGGCCAATCCTATTGGTTTGCCGCCCAATCCGTGACGTTCTCAGCACGCTTCTTGTTCCGTACCAGATCCGCGAAGCTGTCGCGCGGCGGTGGGACGATCACCGTGGGGGGCTGTCCACCGCCGCTACCGCCGCCGCTGTCATCATCACTGGACACGACGACCGCGCGGGAGGACGAGGAACCCTCCGCTTCTCTCCTCAGCCTGGAGAACACGGTAGCATCGCTGCTGCTGGTCTTCTTCCTCACTGTGCCGCTTCCGCCCGTCCCAATACCGGCGGTGCCGCCGCCGCCGCCGCCGCCGCCGGTTTCAGCCCCGCATGATGGCCGGCCGAGAGACATGGGCACCCTGCACTTGCGACGAGGCACCGGAACCTGCCAGAGAGGTGCGTTTCCGAGAGCAGGGAGCCGGACGGGGGGATATAGGGTGTGTATTCGAGGGTGAGAAGGGACACCGGTCGTCAGGAGATGCACTTGTGGCGCCGCCGAAGCCAAATACTGGTGCAGTATGGGATAGGGTGTGTTGGGAGGAGGGGGGAAGGGGGGGTCGTCGGGAGATCCACTTGCAGCGCCCCCAAAGCAAAAACACCTTTTGACTCTTGCGGTACAGCAGCGTAGTACATCGAAGAATCGCCCGGCGATGGTCGCAGCACAACGAAGAAAAAGTGCGCGGCCTGATATTCCCGTGCCTTGCTTGCGTTTCCGATTCCGCATATTTTTTTCCCCCATTTGTTTGGGGTCCCGTTGGCCGGTTCAGCCCTGCATGCGCCAAAAACTGGTAACACATAGGAAAACACCCTTCCGTGATGAACATTTTGGCGTCGTAACCAAGTATCACTGGGTGTGCAATCGAGGGGTGTGGGTGTCGTACCTGATGCTTGGGGCTCATGTTGACCGGTCAAAATACTGACGACCGGGTGTGGTACTGTGTGCGGGTATTATCGCATCACCGGTTGGACCAGGTGTTTTCATGCGACTTGTACGACCGCGATACAACTGGGCACGAATCTCGGGTTTATCTTGCTGCAAATTTTCGCGTGAAGAAGAGCGTCGCCTTCGCGAGAAAATTTAACCATCAATCAATGAGCTCGACACGGGGGGGTTCGTATGCCTATCCCTACCCCGTACCCCCTACTAAAACAATAGTAAATATCCTAGCGAAGGCCACTACTGGAAGATGACAACTCTTCGCATCCCCCTCTCCCCTTGATGTGATGCCACAGCCTGGTCCGGTGAGAACCCGACGTTCTCCGTCCCCCTTTTCTTTAGGGATGCGAGGTCAATGGTCTGCCGACTACGGCATGCTCGGCTATGACTACCCCCGCGCCCGGCGCATGCACGCCTGCCACCCACCGGGGGAACCTTGGAGAAGTACGTGCCCCATTCCACGGCCCACCCGAGACAGCAACCGAACACGGACGCGGACATCCTGGGCGGGAGACCCGACAGATCGGACACCAAAGACTCCGGGAGTTCGGTGCCCGGGGGAAGCGAAGGCAGGGTTGCGCCCGTCGGTCGGTTGGGAAGGGTTGCACGGACCTGGACAAAGGGGGGCACCGCAACGGGGAGGGGGGGAGGGGTCGTGTTCCATGCTCTTTCATCGGTTCGCTGAGATAAGGCGGTAGGGCGATGGCCAAGGACTCTTCTAGAGCCAAAAGGGGGTTGGGGAAGCACTGGTCGTTTGTGACCGATCGCCTTGTCCCAGAAGCGATGGCCTACACCCGACCGGCGGATGATAAACATGCCGAGGTACACGTCGGCATGCAGCTGGTGTCGGTGCTCTTCTCGCTCGAGGGGACCAAAGCCGTGTCCAGCCAAAGTCATCATGTTCCCGGTCGCTTGCGGACAGACTCGTGGGTCGTCTTAGGGCGGGAGCCCGCTAAAGGGCGGGTGAAACATCTCAGCACAGTTAGACCAATCAAGCCTGTTAAACACTACAATTTTGACTTAGAAAGGACACTCGCCGTAAGGGCGGGCAAATCGGGCAGGCAGACACCCTCCCAACGTGACACACGACTGTAGGCACCACGGGACACGCCCGAGAAGGCTACACGGAGGTAAGAAGCGGATGCCATCCTGCGTGTTTACGGCGAGCAGGGACCTTCTCCCAACTCCTACTCCTCTCTGGTGCCTCCAAATCGGCCGGACCCTGCTTGACCCTGCCCGCGAAAAAGGCACTACTGCTCTCCCACCCAGAGCTGGGAGGGCCCGACACCTCGTCTCCACGCGTGAGTGGAATTGCGTTGTAAATGGAAACGTGATAACGACTTGGGGTGCATAATCCGGTTGCGGGAAAGGAGGACCACCCACAGCAACGAAGAATAATTGCGCCTCCCCTCCCCCCAAGTGCTTGCGGATGTGCTGGCCTGGCCCGGCGTGCTCCGTCGCAGATGCAAGGTCGATGGTCTAACGAGTAAGTTTTGCACGGCTATGAGTACCCCCTCCCCGCCACGTACTATTTGCGAACACTTCCGGAGGCATCGTCGGCTTTCTTCACCTGGAAAGACACGCCCTTCCCCCGAAACAGCTCGAACGGGTCGACCACACGTCCCTGTTGCGCCGCCACGCTCTCACCCTCCTCCTTCATGTCAGTCCAGTCACCCGCCGAAGCGGCACCAACCTGCTGCGCCCCCCCGCCTACCCCCTCTCCTCTAGCCCCCCCGCCCGCCACGGCGGTGCCCCCAACGGCAGACAGATCCCGGCCGATCGTACTCGGGTCTGGCTCTGTCCTCGTTCCCGTAGAGGACGGTGGTGCTTGCTGCTGCTGCTGCTGCTGCTGCTTCGGGGTGGAAGATGCTCCAGTGCCGGACGATGTTCCCGCTAGCCGGGTCGCGGAGGAGGACGACGATGACGCCGGGGGGCGAACGTACACCCAGTGGTCCGGGTAGGGTCCCCCCAGGGTGTGCCAGGTGACGACGATCGTGCACCTGTTTCGGAACGACACAACCCGGTCCCGGTACCGTGATCACGGACGAGGCCGGACAAAACAACGGGGGGGGGGGGGG